ATCATCGAAGTCAATTTAACTGTAGCAGATGTGACTTGATAAAATATTTAACCTTATTTTTTTCTCATTTATTTCGTTTTCAGTGAATGCGCAGAGACAAGAATTGATATTTGTACTGTAGCCTGGAATGAAAACCTTCCTGAATCAACTGTGTAAAGTCTTTAACCTTGGACAAGCACTCGAATTTATTTTGCTGCTCTATGTTTCTCTTTTTTTTCTTTTTTTGATCTTTGTAAACTTTTGTTCACTTTTGGTTGCGTTGACAACAACAACAACAACAACAACAACGACGACGAGGAATAGCTGCCCAGCTAATCCCACCCCTACCCATCACCTCCATTCAGGAGCTCGTTACCATTGTTAATGGGATCCTGCTCCAACCCACAATCCCCAAAGCAAACCCCTTCAGTCCTATTTTTGTTGTTGCTGCTGCTGTTGTTGTCATATCCGATTCAGGAATTTTGGAAAAACTGAGATACTACAGAATAAAGAGATAATTTTTGTCCCTCACAAAGCTTGCTGTTTCGTCTCCAGTGTTCCCTTGGGTTACCTCACGACCTGCAGTCGGCCATAATTCCAATTTAGTCTAGAAGGTAAGGGATATCCATGGTAGTTAGGTGATGAATTATATTCTCTCATTTTTCGTAGGGAATATAAGTTGGTGTGAAAGGACATGCTTGGCTACCATGTAGTTGCAACATTCTGTAGAACAGCTCGAGAAAACGAAGGCAATAAGACAGTGTTAAGCCAAGGTGCTGTTTATTTGGCAAAAGGCGCTAATTATCAACATCTCGCTACAGCAACAGGTTACGTTACTTATGCTTATGCGCGAATTACGGATCTCTATATGTCTGACATATGCTTGCTTGATGGAATCTAAATGAGATTGTGGTAAAGAAAATGAACATCTTTTTTCTTCAGCGCGTGACAGCCATCTGAAAACATGAAATTTCACTTCGCTTACGCGTGGCGTGCGGAATTGAGACTAGTCAGGCCGTGAAGTCAAAACAACAACGAAGGTCGGCACATCTTTTCTTTTCCTGGGAAAAACGTAAATCAAATTGACCAGGAGCTAGAGATTGTCGGATAGTTCCAGTTTTGGTCTAGAATTGTTAAATTTACCAACGTTATGTTGATCTACGGCGTTTAAGTCCACGGGGTTAAAGAGATTCATGAAGTAAACCATGGCCATGGCCAATTTCAGCAAATGAAATATTGGTTTTGAACTTGGAATTCTGCGATATACCTCGAAATGTATATATTTAATTGTTGAAGCTAAGAGAAACCTTACTCTGATGGCAGAAGACGAAGAGAAGAAAGAAACCAGGACGGGCTGAAAATAACTGTTTTTCTTTCGGCACTGAATCAAATGGTTAGTAGAGCAACTAGGAATCAATTGGGTAAACTGAAATATTGTTATTGGATATTTGACAAATAATCATCCAAAATTGAAAGAAAAAAAAATTTGACGTGTGTCGTCACGCATTGAGTGCTAAATAACGCTGATTGTGACTGCGTCTCTGGGCACTTTGCTCAGTTGTTGGTTATGTCTGTCAAAATATGATTACCATGGAAACATCAAGATCCTTGAATAATGACGTGTGATGGGAGAGTTTGCCGATATTCGTAACCATAAAAGAGCCAACAGTTAGCAGTTAGGTGAAAGTCCAATAACCATGGTAACCACCTGTCTATCTGTATTGTCGTGCAACACCTTGTAGTGAGAACT